CGACCGCCGAGGCCCGTTTGGGCCGGTGGCGACAGTTCTAAACCTCAAAAGCCAAACATGAGCCTTAAAACGCAGCATAGAGGTCAGGTAAGAACCATGACCAAAAAAGGCTACCCCTAGTCGAATTCATTCGAGCGCGAAATCAAAAGCAAAGCAAAAAGTCAAACCACAATGAGAAAAACAATTATATACACAGCAAGTTCATCAACAAAAAATATGAGTTTAGAAAGCAAACAAAATAAACTAAGTTATTACAGACAGCCTAAGTGGCAGTATTCTCGCTCGAGCTATCAGGAAGGTTGTCTTCCTTCACCAGCTGCCCACCTCGCACATCTTTCTCTACGTGCATAGCTGAGAGGTCGACCCTTGGCGCAAGCAACCTAGCTTGACGAGTTGTCTTGGCAAACCCCCTCTTGTGCTCCACCAAAACAGCCCGCTCAGTCTCGACGAGTTTCCTCTCCAAGCTTGCCCTTGCCGCTGTCATTGCATCAAGGTCGACCTTCAAGGCGCCAACCTCCTCCTTGCCAGCCAGAAGCACCTCGTCGCAAAGGCACTTCTCGGCAGCCTCCCCCAGGTCGGCCCGCAATGCCGCGCTTTCCTCCTCCAAGGATAGGACCCGGCTTCGCGCAGTCTCCGCATCGGCCTTGCAGATCTTGGCAACCTCTTGCAGGTTACCAACCTCGGTGGTGTACGCCTCTTGATTTATATTAACCCAAGGTCGAATTCGAACCTTAACTCGAATCACGTTTCGCCAAGGTCGAATTTGAACCTTGACATGAATTATATCAATTAAGCCAAGGTCGAATTCAAACCTTGACACGAATCATATTAAGCCAAGGTCGAATTCAAACCTTGGCACGAATCATATTAAGCCAAGGTAATTCAAACCTTGGCACGAATCATATTAAGCCAAGGTAGAATTCGAACCTTGGCACGACTCATTTTAAATCAAGGTCACATTCGAAACTTTGTGCAAACTATATTAAGGGTTGAGTTCGAACCTCAAAAAGGCGAAAAGGTC